CAGATTGTGGCGGATACTTAGTAATCGGCCTCTTCAAATGGGAGCCACTTCTGAGTATTTAATCGAGGATTTGGTTACACGATTTTATGTAAAGTGTAGCTAAGGTTACGAAGAATGTAAGTGCTTCACATTAATTAAAATAGCCTATTCGTTATAGAGTAAATTGCTGACAGTATTTTATCAGTATCTAAACAGATAAGTACTAAGTTGGTGGTCTAGGCCAGTATAGCCAGTCTAGCCGCCAGACACAAGAATAATGGCTGGCTGAACTCCATACGAGGCATCCATCGTAATTTGTAAAGAAATATAATATTACAAGAGCACACAACTGCTTGAGATATTAGCTCGGATATAAGGGTCCTTTGTAATATGATTTCTTGTGATTTGTAAGAGCGGCCCAATGAGATTGGACACTGGGCAGTTTGGCATTCAGCGGGATAAGTAATAACATCGTCTCTAGGGAATTATACAAATCTGTTTAGCTGATTGGCGTATTTGTTATACGGAACGGGTAATATAAAACCTGTACTTATACGGTTTAAATAAAATATGCGACATTTTTGTGTGATATTAGCATCGTTGGGAAAGAACTTACAACGGTGGTTATCTGTACGATAATTATATTGCTAACTAACACTAACCACATAATTATGCTTACAAAATCATCCTAATTTTCATTTTAAGTTTTGATTGCACATAATCCACAAATTATAATGTTAATAATTTGTTATCATAATCAACTATGACCGCGCACGATGTAACAGTCAACAGTGTCATCTGTAAAATTTTACATGATACTGTATATGTATCATGTATAGGCGAATAAATTCATTATGCATAAACAACTCGACTTGATTGTAACAAACAATGTACAAAGGTGTTTTGTGGACAATTCCCCGTCAAAGATTAGTGTAATACACGCATCGTGATCCCGTTCATTCGTATTCTTAGCTGGGAGAGTATTTGTAGTCGGCGGCGGCGGCGGGTGCGGGACAATAGGTCCCACTTATATCCGTCACAATGGATACACAATACACTAATATATTCCTCGCTTTGTGCTCACTGTATCTGATCATCTCAGATGGCTTCCACTGACAGGACGAATGAAAATAGTCACAAGCACAGATATGTGCTAACTACTGCTCTTTGAATAAATTTTCCTTAAAATCAACTTTTACAATAATTAACTTTTGAAAATATCACTAATAATATTATCTAACACTAAACCTTCATCGTCAAGTATGATTTATGTAGACATATTAGCGTTCAGTCAATGCTTTTTTTGTCACGGGAAAATCATCAAATGACTTCTCCTGCCCAGAGCTTCACCTTGGTTAGGTGAGAGAGAGTGTCAGTCTCTTACTGACTAAACCCAATACACTACGAGAGATAAAACACAAACACATACACAGGAAGCACGAAGGGCAGAATCTACGAGTAAAACCACTGAAGAGCCACAAGGAAACTTCAACTAATTGATTCGTAGAAACAACTAGAACTACTTACTGTATTATAGTCGGCAATAATCACTAAATACATCGAATAACTTTAGTCAATCTACTAAACGATATCTAAGAGGAGTTGATCTACATTTTATGCTTGTTTTCCATAATCGGCAACAGTTTCAGGTCCTTGGAGCCGCGCATTGAGTATTCATATATTCCATGTTTTTTTTCATCGAAATGATCGAGTTTTTTGCTTCACTCCGAGGTAAGAATTTCTTGCTTGTTAGATATTCGAATGACTGTGGAGAAGGAACCGAGGCATTTAAGTGTTTTCCTTGTGTGTAGAGTAAATAATTGAAAATAGCTTGGGTTTAACTATGGAGTTCTATATCTAGATAACAGATTACGATAGTATGACATGGTACTTAGTGTAAGTATTCCTCAGTGGGTATCAGAGCCTCGTTTTTCTATCATAAACGGTTTATGTTAATAAGGGAGCCCCGCTGTTGGATTTTAATCTCGGCTGGACTTAATGAGATTTTCATTTTGCACTACGCGATTACAATAATAAATGAGATGTTATTGTGACCTACTATGTTTTTGTATTTCAGGACGTGTTTCATATTTTTCTCGTTAAGAGTTTTAGGACCGAGATGGTTGAGTCATTTGCCATTCAGGATCGCACCAATGATTTCATTGTCAATGGTAATGATCGAATCGCTGACGTCATTGTTTAAACAGAACGTGTTCACACTTGATGACTTTATGACTTTATGAGTTGACAGAAAATAAATATCTATACCTACTTACATACGATACACTCGCTTGACTTTAATTCTATTATGTCTGTGAGTAATACAAAACTTGATTTATATTATATGGAACGATGTGAAAAATGAACTTAAATTTGGTAGTTAAAACTGTAGGTTCATAAATGTAGGTAACCTACCTGATCGTGTATCTACTAAAATTTCAATCAACATTGCAGACTGAAAAACTGAGCTGTGAATGGTGAAGGTAAACATGAGGAAAACTGGACTTTTTTTTTACTAGCCTGTAATGTCCCACTACTGGGCAAAGGCCTTCCCATCTCGCTTCCACACCTCCCGATCCTTCGACCGTGTCCACCAGTCTCGTCGATAGGCGTCTAGATCGTCACGCCATCTTTTCCGGGGCTTACCCCGCCTGCAGCCTCCATCCTGAGGTATCCACTAGGTGACAATAGTGGCCCATCTCTCCGGATGCATTCGGCTGACGTATCCGGCCCAGACCCAGTTTAATTTTGCCGCCTTTTGGCCCACATCAGCGACTCCTGTTTCGGAACGTATCACGGTATTCCGTATGCAATCGGTCCGTTTTATGCCTAACAGGCTGCGTTCCATTGTCCTTTGGAAAACCCTAAGCCTGGACTTCTGACACTCGGTGAGAGACCAAGTTTGCGCACTTATAAATACAATTGGACTTATAATTTCTAATTATAAGTTTAAAATTGCCAACCCGCAGTGAGCAAGTGTGGTGATTAGTGCTCAAACCTTCTCCGTGTGAGAAGAGGCCTTAGATAGTATAGGGCATTATGGGAATTCACCATAATCTAGTTATATTCAGGATAGAAAGCTTCAATTCTAAAAGCACGAAAAGAAAATAGTATAAATCACTAATACCCTTGCAAGTGGCATTTCTAACTAAATGAGCAACAATACGCAGAACTGTAGTCATCGAGTTACGCTCCACGTCGGTTAGCAGTGACTGCCAGTTGTGACGTCACAAATTGCCGCGCATTTCCTCCGAGTCGTACATGCACGGCGATGAATAAAATATCTCCAACCGACACAATAATACACGAAGATTGCTGGACGTACTCGAACCAACTATTCTAGTCATTGTCTACATTTAGTTTATAGACTAACTATAATTTGTTACTAATATTGTGTTTTATATTTAAAATTTTTTGTTTCCTGGTCTGGGAAAATGCAACAACAACAGAATCATTATGTGTGTGATACAAGTGTCCACACTGCAAATAAAACGTGTAATTTGATAGTGCAGAAAAATACGTCACAACGATCATGATTCCTGTTCATAAATAAGAATATATTGTAGCTATAAAAGGCACAGTTAGCTTAAGAGTCTACTTGATTAGACTAACATGTAAGGCAACTAAGAAGAAAATTGTTGGGAGACAATCCGGGTGTACTCGCGGATATTGGCCGCAGTAAGCCGGCCCCGGATATTGCCAGAGAGTATCAGGCCGCGCGCCTCGCGCCCGGCTCGACGCGCTCTGCCGATGATCTCGTATTCTTTCCACAATTTCCAAGCTATTTGTTACACTTTCACGTGGGATAGGAATCTTAATGCTCTTTTTAATAATACCAATGCAATTCAAAACTCAGTACGTAATTTACAAGTATACCGGTCACATTTTTATAAACAAAACTTACTACGGTCAGTAAAAAATATATATTGAACAAATATTTTTAAAGTACAGTTAATTATGTTTAACAAATTCCTTCATTAAAAATTTCGTAGTCTAAAAGGCGTAAAACAAGATGTTTTTTTTTTTGTTGAATAAATAATAAACCAGGTCAGACGTTATTAAAGCCGTCTTTCAAAAAAGACAAAACAATTGTTTTAAAATTTTCTCCAAAACACAAATCTACAGTCTATTTTGCCTTTTCAAGAGAAAATGACTGAGGCAAGTCTGATTTCAGCAGATTAATATTCCAATTTAGCGGGAAATTGAAAATATAATTGGTTGACATTTCTGAAGCCAAGTGGACACCGATTTAAAGGAGACATTTTGCTAGCGCAGCTTTACTTTTAAATTATGTGAATTATTAGTAGATACTAATACTACTCGGTAATACTGGAATAATTAAATTACTAATGTAAGCACTACTCAACTGCCAATACTTATAGATAAATTATTGTTGTAGTGTATGAGTGTTCATATGATTTGTTCGATATCGAGCGGAATTAGTTGAGCGCGATCAATGGTGTACTACATCGTTCTATACATCAAACCGCGATACTTTATGGTAGCTTTTACATGAACAGATAATGGCTGCGTCGTAAGAATATCGAAGTTTAATAAAGTAATTTACTGAGCATCTAAGAATACCCCGGAGATAATATAAAATGCTGGGTACTATTAGTATTGTTTCAGATTACTTATTAATATTTAACGCTATTGAACATTCCATTAAACATAATACAGGTACACGAAATATATCTGACGTCACACAATCCCAGCAAAACTAAGATAAAAACCGATGTCTGCGAAGTCAAATAAAAATAATTCACTTTGTTCCAGACTTTTGCTCATAAAACATTAAAGTTTTTTTCACTGAAAATACAGAAAGTCGTGTTTCAATAAGTCTTGTCAAACGAGACAACTGCTGGCAACGTTCTTATTGCAAACCCTGCACTTGGCCCCTTATTGGAACTTACACCACACTAACCGCGCTAAATTGAAAGCTATTGCTAGTTTGGTAAAGTCTATTTTCAATAAAAGTACATTGTTTCAAGAAGCACGTTGTGCTCTGTGGATTGAACGTAATGGTGGAAAAAGTGGTTTATGTTCCTTGTGGTGAGTGTATCCAAATGTTATACATTTAGTTAGGGTCGGTTGTGATTGTGTGCTAAGATGGATTAAAACACGCGCGCAATAAAGGCGGCACCAGTGAACCGAGGCGTCTAGGCTAAGTCGGTAGTAGTGAGGTCGTTGACTAGCCGCGCGGAGTGGCGATGGCGGGCTGCAGGAACCGCGTGCGATTACAAGTGATCTATTTTGTAATTAGGAGCCAAATTTCGTTGGGGTGTAAACTGTTCTCAATGTACAACACCGCTAAAGCATTTATTTCATACAGGCGGGCGAAAAATGTATCAGAGAGATGGGGTTAAATATAAGTACACTCCTAGTGGTAGCCGTGTGTTAATTCAGGAATTCTCATGATAATTGTTAAGAATCGCTAGAGATCACATTACAACAACGCGTTAAGCTATGATTAGTCATGATAATAAACTCTAAACACTTTTTAATAGTTCCATGAGTTGGCAGGCAAGCTCATCTCTCCAGAACTCCGCCGCCACGTCACCTGCAGTCAGGATGCTCAACTTGATTGATGGCCGTGACTCGAGGGTATCACTAAACGAACCCCGCTAATTATTGCTGAGGTAACAGGTATTCAGTGAATTAAGTTTACCTCGTTGTCATGGTAACGTATTACCGCGATTGCTTTTTCTGAAATCAGGAAACGACAGGAAAACTTATACTCAGTAAGATACAAGGGCCTAATTAAGTCTTAAATTTATTTAAATAAGTATATTATAATACTGTTTTGATGGCCGTGACTCGAGTGTATTACTAAACGAGTGTATAACTTTTCTTTCAAAAAGTCAAAATCATTTATTTCAATTAGACCCATACAGGCACTTTTGAACGTCAACACAACTTTAAAGATACAAAGTGTCAGTCTGTCGGTCAGTCCTCTTAGTGAATCTATTCGCTCGTTCCAAAGTGTAGATTCCAATGGTGAAGAACGAGCAAGAAACTCCATGGTTACTCTTTTAAAATCAGGGTCACATAAACATTCTTTGATACATTATCTTTTTTCTTTCTTCCTTTAAAAATTATCAATAAAATTTACTTAATTCGTAAATGTAATACAACTTCTTGTAATGTAATTTTTCGCTCAGGTAATTATGAATGTATTTCTATGCTAAAGTACCTAAGTTCGCGATGCTCCTGAGATTTAGAAACCTCTGCTCATTCCAATCTTCTCTATAAAGGAATGTCAGTGAGTGATGCTTGAATCATTAGGTTTTTACTGTTTTCGGTTGTTTTGTTCTTCCATAAATTATATATATGTAATTTAATATCATAACTTAATACCAGCATCTAATCGTACCGATAACCTCACCTACGCATTTCCTTGTGTGACAAATTCAAATGAGATACGACCCAAATAATATATATTTTGGGAATAAACACTTTGATTCTTGAACTTGATAAGAAAATATCTTGTGTGATGTATTGAGTACGCAAGATATATTATGAGCTATAAATACTGATCAGTGTCGACCGCTGTTTTCACTCGCTTGCGATTATACTTAAAATATGATATAGGTAGTTAATTAGGTATTTGTTCAGGTGAGCTCTCGAGAGCTCGGTGTGACGTCATAACATCTGTAAGTGAAACCAGTGTTTGTGTTAGTAGTGTCGTGTGCTGGCCTTGTGCTCTGGAGACCGCGCGCCAGTATTGTGGCGCTGTGACCTAGACTACCTACAGTCTGCTGGGAGTAATTATTGCTTGAACAAACACCTGCTTGTTGTCATTTGAGAACTAATATTTGGAAGTCACAAGGCCTGTACACTTCTAGGATTGCGTAATTATTACCTCATTACCGGCTATGTGAAAACAAACATGGTGAAGAGATGCCCTTGTTTGTTTTATGGACACATTTTGACCCTTTACCCGCATGAAACAGATGGTATTTCCAAAAATGTTGCCGGCACCCCAATAATTTGTCCCTAACGAGTTCTATAATTAATCTGTCCGCTGATCCGCCGCCATGTTTACACAACACTTCCCGCCACCTTCTGCACGCCGACCCATAAGCTGACAATGCAATCTTTTCGCGTAGCCGATATGAATAAAGTATTTCACATCGCATCTGCAATTTAACCTGCTGTCGATGCGCACACGCGGTTTTCAATCAAAAATGTTGTATCATTGTCTTAGAAATTTCTACACACATATAATTATATTCATGCAAATATTCAACATCTGTTAGTCTTTATTTAAGCAAATAAACTATATTATTTTAGTCAGGCAGCTTTTTAAGAATATGTTTAAACACAAAGTAGAAGATAACTCGATAAGCGCGCGTCGCACGGCACAGCCGCGCGGCTACAGATTCAGTGCTCTGTGTAAATCGAATCACTTGACGTTTAGCTCAACAAGCCACTTAGTATTCACCGCGGCTGCTGCTGCTCCCTACACAGAAAATTTTTCTTCTAGTATTTATTAAGCACTGAATAAATATTATTTTTCAGTGTAACATTTTAAGGCAAACAATAAATCTATCTCTCTTGTATACATTAAGTACAAACACTGCGGTTGGGTAACTGGCTACTGTAAACGTGTCGCGGGTATGATTTCCACACGGAACAATACTTTTTGTGATCCATAAATTATTATTTTGGGTCAGGGTGGCTTGTCTAGGTATGGGAATTTGTATGTTTGTAAAAGGAAAAATGCAAGCGTTTAGCAACGTTATTAAAAGAAAAGTCCTTAATTGTTCAATATCAATGAAGGAAGTCTGGAATTAGTTTTATTGATGAAAGTATAATTATGAATCTAACATTGTCATTTGTTTGTTACAGATTTCACCGTGATGATTCCAAAGAAGTTCACAGTTTGTAGGTTAGTATACGAACCTGTACCTTACCTACATCATGAATACTCTGTGATTGGGCAATACTCTTACACAATTCTTATAGTAGGTGGTCATATTATGCCTTCATATGTTTTTCTAACCGTGCTTATCATATAATATATTTTTTCATCATCTCTTTTGCCATCATCTTAAGTATTGCATTGTTACTCTTCCAATGAATCATAATAATATGCGTGTTGTTGTGTATATTGTAATCGAGTGGAAGCATGCATCATGCCCAGTGGACAGTAACAGCCTAGTATGTTACTCCTATTAATGATACTGTCTTCGGCCAGGGAACATTAACTGGCTTAGTGCCTCCTATATATCTTGCAAGCTTTGTTTTGATGCTAACATTGACATACACGTATTTCCTCCATCTAGGAAGCAAGTACTATAAGTACTTAAATAAAATTTGCAGGTTCAGTAATCGACCCAAAATACTGTAAATCTCTGAACAAATCTTCCACTTATAACATTTCTAAAAGATAAGAACTTGCCAAAACAGTAATCCGTATTACATTCAAAATTGAATCACAAAAATCTATTTCGAAACTATTCACTCGATATTACAGAAATTGATACAAAACGAATGAGACACGAAATAAAACGAATCTCTTTGCACGTACAATTACATTATAAATTCAATAAAGAGACGCTTTCAGTCAGCAGTAGGGCTGTCACTGAATGGAAACACTTTATTTGCACAATGTATAATTGTAGACTAAACATCGCGTTCTATTGAAGGCAGCTAGTATTGGTTTTCGTGGGCGAAGTTAATGTCTATCGATAAATGGTTTGTACAGGACTCCATTTTGGGAACGGTATTATTTTTCTTTAATTTTTATGAGTGGCTGTTGCGAGGAACGCGTCTGAGTGTAACGTAAATATCTTCCAGAAATTGAATACACAACACGTACCTATATTGTTTATTGAGGATTTTTTCGAAATTGGAGACGTGATAAACTGAGGATAAGTATTCAGGTAGGTTTACCGTTTTGTTCTACCCACGTTGAGCCCGTAGCTCACCTACTAGATACTTCTCGAAGAGAATGTAAAGCAGTGCTTGTGAACTTAAAACGTGGAAAGTACTGAGTACCCAATATTCGTCTTCACTTTTTTGGGATAACGAGCGTCTGAATGAGTTATGGAATCTCCCGCGGGACGCTGCCTGCCACGTAGCAACATCTACTTGAACAATATTGTGAAGTACACGTATACTTCACGAGATAACGGGATAGATACATGTATTCAGGTACCATATTAACATTATGTGTTCCAAAATATAATAATTATACTTTTACTACAAGTACTCCTAATAATAAATAATCGCAGATTCACATCAACCCATAAGTGACAACTGCTGAGCAAAGGCCTCTTCTCACACAAAGAAGGCTCGCGCATTAATTATCGCCCATCCATCGCCCTTGCTCAGAATATACGGATGTATAAAGGTTTTAGACTGATTAATCGGTCTTACAACTGAATTATGAAGTTTTCGATACATTACTTAATAGAGCTGTTATTTGCTCCTAACAACAGAAAGCGTAAACAGAATTAGTCGATTTGAAAAATTAAACCTGAATGAATTATAGTTAGTTTAATTATTCCCCTGAAAACCATTTGTTTGCTATTAGCACCCATGGACTCCAAAATCTCACCTCTTAGTACCAGGAGCCCATATCACACGTGAGTGTACAGCTCGTAGTATGAGCGCAACTCATGATCGAAATGTCTCCCAAACCCAAGATGTCGCCTGTCGCGTGATATATGACGAGGAAGTGAACTACTGAAACCACTTCTTGTGGGAAATTCGGCTGTAAAATATAGCTTCATACACGATATTTCATGTTTATTCTGAGTAGGGAAATATATATGATTACTTATTTGTTTATTTACAAAGGGCTTGTTTGTATTAAACATTGTTTATGAACTTTATGTTCAAGATTCTTATAAAAGTTTGGCACTAGTAGTAACTGAATCCAAAAAGTCCAGAGCCATAAAAAGTTTGTCAATTGTAATGGGTTTTCAGATTCATTGACACTACCGCAATAAAAATATGCCTACAAACCGTTTCACTTGATACTTCATCAACTTTTTCAATGTCGCCAAATTGTCGCAGTTACTAAGTTGTTCGTCTGAAAGGCC